CGGAGTTGATGGCGGAGGACCATCACTTCAATGCTGGTGGTCTTCGCTTCTTCCAGCACACTGACATTTGTCTGCTTGTCTTCCCAAGAGATTTGCAGGACTTTTCGGAGGCAGCGCTGATGAAATTGTTCCAGGAGTTGTATGTGATGTCTGTAGACTGTCCATGTCTCGCAGGCATATAGCAGGGTTGGGAGGACAATAGCTTTATAAACAAGCACCTTGGTATCCCTACGGATGTCCCGGTCCTCAAACACTCTCTGCTTCATTCAGAAAAAGGCTACACTCGCAGAGCTCAGGCAGTGTTGAATTTAAGTGTCAATGTTGACTTTGGTGGAGAGGTGGCTGCCAAGGTAGGGGAAATGGTCAACATTTTCTAATGTTACACCATTATCTCTGGCATTGGAGAGGGATTGGCTGGTGACTGCTGGAAGAGCACTTTGGTTTTCTCGATGTTTAATGACAGACCGAGCTTCTCGTATACTTCTGCAAAGGTGTTTAGAGTTGCTTGTAGGTCTTCTTCTGAATGTGCACAGACTACGTTGTCATCAGCATACTGGAGTTCTATAACAGATGTTGTTGTAACCTTGGTTTTAGCTTTCAGTCTGCTGAGGTTGAATAGCTTGCCATGTGTCCGATAGATGATTTTCACTCCAGTGGGAAGCTTCCCATCAGCAAGATGAAGTATCATAGCGATGAAGATGGAAAATAAAGTTGGAGCAATAACACATCCCTTTTGACACCAGATTCCACCTTAAATGGGTCATTTTGGGAGCCATTGCTATCGAAGACTGTTGCCATCATGTCATCATGGAGGAGCCACAGGATGTTCACAAATTTGTTAGGGTACCCGATTTTTTGGAGGATGGCCCAGAGAGCGCTGTGATTCACTGTGTCGAATGCCTTTGCAAGATCGACGAATGCCTTTGCAAGATCGACGAATGCCATGTACAGAGGTTGATTTTGTTCCCTGCATTTTTCTTGGAGCTGTCGTGCAGTGAAGATCACTGTTCCTCTGGAGAGGAGGAAGGCATTCTGGGATTCTAGAATGGGAGAAAGTCACCAGCAGTTTCTTATTCAGTTGTTGGTTCCTTAGAAGTCTCAGGTAGTACAATCTGCTGAGCCCTATTCACTAACACTGCTGTACGATCCTCCTTAATGGTGACACCCCACTCCATTTATAATCAAAGACTGGATTTCTGATCTATTCCTTCTGTAATCTACTATACGCTCCATGATCTTATTAACTTTAAGAACAAGATTATTGGGTTGCTGTGAGTTGTTCGGGCTGTATGGCCATATTCCAGCAGCATTCTCTCCTGATGTTTCACCTGCATCTGTGGCAAGCATCCTCAGAGGTCTGTTGGAGGTGAGGCACGTGGAGTGTATATACGAGCAAGCTGGATTAGCATTGAGTAGCCTTGCAGCTGCAAAGTCAATCAGTGAGGGTATCTGTATAGAGGTATCCAGGCTGTTGTACAAAGAGGCACCCTCTGTTTGGGAGGTGTTAACTGGCACTTGGTTGTTTGTTGTTTGGAATTCCCCTGTTTCTGAGTGGTATTCCTTATTTACTGTATTGTCCCTGCGTCGTGACAGCAGCCGATGCACCTCATCTCAGCAGGCAGACTTATTCAGAGATAAGAAGTCCTACCACTTCTAACAGTCAAGGCTTGTAGTTTGGGAGGGTTCTCTTCTATGCCTTCCCCCAAACAATATAAGGTGTGGTAGAATGGAGCCATGGAAGTTAACATCGGCACCTGCTTTAGCACAGCAGGTTAACCACCAGCTGCAATCAATCTTGCCCATTCAAAGATTGGCAGTTTGAAGCCCAGGTTGGGGGTGAATGCCCGACCTTCAGTCCAGCTCACTGCCTATCTAGCAGATCAAAAACAGCAATGAGTAGATAAATAGGTACCGCTTAAGTGAGGAGATATTTCAAGGGCACCATAAGGAATTTTTCATCGAAATGCTGGCAATTCGATGAAAAAAAGGAGGAAGTCTGTAAACAGGAATCTTCAACATGGAGGATGGAGTGACAGTACCCTCCTGTGGTCGAAATCAAGCACAACCTCCAAGACACCAAAAATGGGAAAAGCCTATACCTCTATCTGTATTGTTGTCTGTCCTGTGTATAATGTTTTCAGTATATGTGTTTTGTGATCCGCTCTGAGTCTCCTTCGGGGTACGAAGGGCGGAATATAAATACTGTAAATAAATAAATAGATTAATATCCAGAAAGTGCTCTCGTTCTAAGTGGGTTTGGAAGATGTTTGCTCCAAGCCTTTCGAAGCCCATCTTTTCAGAAGTTTGATGAAAGCTTCTTTTCCTCTCTTAAAGCCAACCTACCAAATGTAGCACAACAAAACCAGAACCTGCAAACAGCCCTTGATTGATGCAGCGGATGATGTATTTCATTATCTTCTTGCTCTACGATGCGGCGGATGAAATACAAAAGCCCAAAACCCAGAAAGCGAGACAGTGTGTCTTTTGAACCTGATATCGAGTTCTTTTGGGGGGCCTCCCAGGGGGGAGAGCCCAAGGACCGCACCAAAGAGGGTCCTGGATACCTTGGCGAGATTTTTCCGGAAGCCAATCCAAGAGCGCAAAAAGTTATTAAAATCAAATAATCTCACCAGGCGAAAGGAGTCCAGCGACCGAGGCGTTTATTGCGATTCAGCTGATCGGATGCAATACAGGAATCTTTCCACTGCAGAGCATGCAGCACAAGAGTTTACAGGCACTTTTATACAGTGAAGAACAAAGAAAAGCAGTTTGAAAATCCCGCCCGCCCCCCTGTCAGCCGGCTTCCGGCTGATTGGCTGAGGCTGGAACAGCTGGGAGGAGGTAATCCCGCCCTCCTCCGTCAGGGGCCAATGGGAGCGGTTCTCTGCCTCGGGAGGGCCAATGGGCGCCCTCCGCTTGCTTCCTGGGTCCTGGCCAATCAGGAGCCAGGAGGCGGGACAGCCGTGGTCAATGGGGGGAGAGATGATGGGATTTGGGATTTCCTGCCCGCTGGAATGCGGGCCATCGTCCCAGGTGATGTTTGTCAAACAAAGGCTTTCCTGTCCTTAATGGGTCTGGCAAGTGATATGAATAGCTGGGTCGAAATCGGACCGCCCGGAGGATCAACAATTCCTGAGTGGATCAATCAGTCTTTTATTCCAAGGCTCTGCTGACCCTGCCCTCCTTCGTTGGCCCTGCTCCGAAGACGAAATTGGGGGGCCAGCAGCATTGTCCATGCAAAATGAGTCAATCAAGGGTGATTTAGGGGGAAAAGGCTTGGGCTTTTTCCCCCAGGCAGTTCCTGGTCACGCTGGTCTTCTTTGTGGGGCAAGGGGACAAAGAGGAAAAGATGCAGTGGAGTTCATAGGGGTACATATTTCATATCCATAAAGTACAGGCATTTCATACACCACAACCCACCACCCATCCCAATCCCCTTCCATAGCAAAGTATTTTATTTTATTTCATTTCATAGAAAAGGTAAAGAAAGTCTAGAAATCCCAAAAGCCTAGACAGAGGGTTTTCTGGAGGCAGGGGCCAAGCCTATGGCTTAGGCTGGCCATCAGAAGATCAGTTCATTATTGAAACTGGAGCTGAAGGGGGGAGCTCGGTTCCACTGTCCTGTCCTTGGTGGAACTAGCGCTCCCAACCGGGGATCGGGCCTCCCTGCCCGGTCCCCCACTTCCAAGGCTTCCCCTTGGGCACGGCGGTGGATCGCAGGCGGCAGGAACCATACTGGAGCGAGCGGCAGCGAGCGAAATGGAGCAAGCGGCAAAACCGGCGAATTTTGACAACCAGCTGGTGACTCGGCCGAATTTAATGATTAAACAAAAACAATTATTTCACGAGTGCAGGAGTCCAAAATGAGAAAACCAAGATAGCAGTTAGTCTTAGAAGTTAATGTGGAAAAATACAAAATTTGAACGGGCCCGATCCGCCATGCTGTTGTTTTGGCGGATAAAGGGGGCCATTAGGAAAACCTCCGTATCCACGATTTTAGCTAACGCAAATCCGGGGGCCTGGGGATGCCGGGAGGGCATCCCCAGTGAGCTCACGGTTCCCCGGAGCTCAGGAAAAGGTTTAGGATGAGTTAGAAGGGCTGCAGTCAGTAAAGGACACAAAGTATCAAGCGGAAAGGATTCAAAGTTTCAAAGCTTAAGTGTTTTATTGAGGGATTGGTTACAAAGAGAGGGAGAGGGGAAAGTGAAAGAAAGCTTCATGCAGTCTTTGGCTTTGAGCTGCTGGCTGGGGCACATTTCATCAGTCGGGCCCAACTTTGCTCTACGGAACTGCGGAACTCCCTGCTGCGGCTCACACCAACTTGAAGGCGGGAGATTCCGCTACCTGGGGGGTCATCACATGGAGGTGAACAGGGTCTGGCTGCCAGTATTGAAAAACTCTAAAGTTGTAGCAGCCGAACAACAGAGAGGAAAAAACCAGGCACAGATTAACACCTCCCAGCAACAGATTTCCCAGGCTCAGGCAGGCCTTCAAATGCTGATGAAGGTGATCAGCTAAACATTCACACCTAACTGCAGCAGGGAAGAGCTCCTTGCCCCACCCCAGCCATTCCACAGATATATAAACCCATTTTTCCTACTTCCAACAGACCTCACACCCTCTGAGGATGCTTGCCATAGATGCAGGCGAAACGTCAGGAGAAATGCCTCTAGAACATGGCTCTATAGCCCGAAAAAACCCACAAGAACCTAGTGATTCCAGCCATGAAAGCCTTCGACAATACATTGTTTTTCTTCTATTCCGGCATTAGCGCGGTAGCTTAGTTTTGAATACATCTTTATGGATTTTAACGGAATTGTTTTTTAATACTAATGTTCTAGAGGCATTCTCTCCTTGGCCATATAGCCCAAAAAAACCCTACAACAACCCAGTGATTCCGGCCATGAAAGCCTTCGACAATACATTAATATTTGTATATTTGTTTATTTTAAATTGTGACTCTCTTTTATCCATATTTTCTTTTTATTCATGCTCTTTAGGCATTTTCTGCTTACTATTATGTAATGAAATTTCTGAACATGACACAACAACCTATGGATGAAGTGATAAAGGCACTGAAGAACTTCTGCTCCGAACCCTGGGCCAAGGTATGACATTTCTTCAGAAGAGCATCCTGACTCCTGTTTTTGAAGTCTTTGGGGTGTATGACTTCCATCTGGTCTTAATGTTGCATTATTGGGGGTGGATTTAGTACCATTGTCTCCAACGCAATGTCTATTTTGCATATATAATGTCTTCCTGACTTGTGAAAGGCATCTTAATAGGGGAAGCACAACAATGGATTATTTTTCACTCTTAAGCTTAATATTAAATACAAGGGTGGAATTCCTCACTCCTGGTGAAGAAATATTCATGTAGAACAGTGTTTTTCAACTTGGGGGTCATGACCCCTGGGGGGTCGCAAGGGGGGTTTCCGAGGGGTCGCCAAAGACCTTCAGAAAACACAGTATTTTCTGTTCATCATGAAGGTTTTGTGTGGGAAGTTTGGCCCAATTCTATTGTTGGTGGGGGATTTAGAATGCTCTTTGATTGTAAGCGAAATATACATTCCAACAGCTACAACTCCCAAATGTCAAGGTCTATTTTCCCCAAACTCCACCATTGTTCACATTTGGGCATATTGAGTATTTGTGCCAAGTTTGGTCCAGATCCATCTTTGTTTGAGTCCATAATGTTCTCTGGATGTAGGTGAACTGCAACTCCTAAACTCAAGGTCAATGCTCACCAAACCCTTCCAGTATTTTCTCTTGGTCATGGGAGTTCTGTGTGTCAGGTTTGCTTCCATTCCATCATTGGTGGAGTTCAGAAAGTTCTTTGATTGTAGGTGAACTATAAATACCAACAACTACAACTCCCAATTGGTAAAATCAACCCTCCCCAACCTAAATTGTGCCAAATTTCGTCCAGTGAATGAGAATACATTTGGCATATCAGATATTTACATTACAATTCATAACAATAGCAAAATGACAGTTATGAAGGAGTAACAAAATAATTTTATGGTTGGGGTAGCATTAGGGAGGTTGAGAACCACTGATGTAAAGAAAGTAACATTTCTTATCCACTTTCTAGGTAAAGGCTGACCATCCTAAGATAAAAGAGAAGTACTTGAGTGAGTACTGCTTCGCAGGAACTTATGTAATCTCACTTCTCGGCAACAGATATAACTTCACTAAGGAGAAATGGTCGGACATTCATTTCTTGGGAAAGGTATATTTACATGCAGAATCTGGGAATGGTTCTGGGATTTGGCAGAAAATTTGTGTCCTGCCTTTCTAATATGTACAGTCACACCACTTAGATTGACTCACAATCATGTAAAAATCATAATAAAATAAAGCCATACATTCAGTTACAAATGCAATTAAAATGTCAAGGTGTCATAGCCCAGTGTTTGCACCAAATGATCAGTAAACAAAAATCTCAAGGAACAGAAATAGTTCTGACCCACAGAACAAGACATTCAGTGTATTGTTGAAGGCTTTCATGGCCAGAATCACTAGGTTGTTGTAAGTTTTTCGGTCTATAGAGCCATATTCTAGAAACTAGAAAAATCAGGTTTATATATCTGTGGAAGGTCCAGGGTGAGAGAAAGAACTCTTGTCAGGCCATCAAATGCGAATCAAGGTGGCCAATTGAAACATTCACACCTAGCTTCAACAGACAAGAGTTCTTTCTCCCACCCTGGATCTTCCACAGATATATAAACCCAATTTTCCTAGTTTCCAACAAACCTCACAACCTCTGAGTATGCTTGCCACAGATGCAGGCAAAACGTCAGAAGAGAATGCTTCTAGAGTATGGCCATACAGCCCGAAAAACCTACAACAACCCAAGACATTCAGTCTTTCTCTTCAGCATACTATTGAGGCAGGACTGAGAAGACCTCCTCCATTTAGAGATGGGCATTTCCTTCTGCTTCTAACATGCCAGAAAGTATTTATTTATTGTGTCATCAGCAACCAGACCATTGTATGCCAGAAAGTGATATGGAAGGAGACAGAATGTCAGGTACTCTGAGCAAAAGTCATACAGGACTCCAAAAGTCATGACCAAAAACTTAGTTTTCTCACTTTCTTTAAAAGTACAGTTTGCCTTCGACATTTGTAGTTTAACTTTGTGGAATTGATTACAATTCCACAAGTCACAAATTGGATTAAAAGCTTCTATTTAGGAATTTCTAGGTCCTTCAGTGTGACTCTGTGCTCAGCTTTCCCTCGAAGTGCATCATAGTGTCATGCTGGAGAACCTAAAGATTCCTAGAGAAAACATCTCTCTTGAACTCTCTAGGTTCTCATGTGTTATTCATAAAGGGATTTTCTCTCAGGTAATTTTTCCATTTCTTCCCACTTTCACAGAGGCTCCTATACCTCGTGTGAATGTGGAGGACTGACTATATCTCATATATTTCCTGTAGTGATCAACTTGTCTCCCTTCTTTTCCCATTTATTTCAGATTCGTGACAGTGATGCTGGATGGACTCTGGGCTACATGCTTAACTTGACAAATATGATCCGTGCAGAGCAGCCCTATATACGTCCACTTTCCCATGCTGGCTATATTAGTATCATGGCCATCTGCTCCACTATGGTAGTGTTGCTGGTCCTCGCAGGGTTCATAATTTATCGCAAACCGAAGTGCTTGAAAAAGGAAGCAATTTAGAGCGGTATAGTCCACAGCAAAATTTCCGTGAGCTTCAGAACTTAGTGTTCTTCTTCTGAAGCAAATGACTTTGTATGAGGACTTCCTTGGCCACCTCCACTGGCACTCAAAGATGCCAAAAACAGCATGCTGCAAACTTTCTCCCATCTTCCTTATTTTGGATAGGGGATTGATGATGGAGACCTTGTGTGCCATATTAAAACAACAACTTCTCTCAGGTCCGTCCTTTCATGTATTGCCTTGGTCCCAAAAATGCAACACAGGAGGCACCCTGTCGGGAACAACTGACTGAACAATGGGAAGACAGACTGTGCCTGGCAGGTCCAGGTGAGCTCAGGGTTGTATATCTTTCGCACCTCTGGAAAGGTCAATGGCCATCTGGAAATGCTACCTGTGGATCTCCCCCATTCATGGTGATTTATCTCAATCACCATCCAGTCATAATTGATTTATGTGGACATCTGCTGTGTGAAGACTTTTGGAGACTTTTTATCATAAACTGTCTATGTGGCCAATCATTAGCTGGGAGAAGGGGAAGGAACCTTAAATGTTCCCTTTCACAAGACTTTTGTGGAGAGAATATCCAACTGCCACTTGCCTGGAACCACTGAACGGATCCACTGAAGGACCAATGAACTCCAAGGCAATGAACTATCTGTGAAATGTTTGGATTAGTCAATGTGAACCACAGCCATCCGCTTTCTTTAGGTTGTGTAGACTACAGAATCTGAGGCCAGATGTTGCAGCCTCCCAATGTTTCCATGGGCAAAATGATCAGTCAAAAATTGTGGGGTGGCGCTAGGGAAGGGGAGGTGGGATACATTCCTTGCAACTTCATTTACATGCATGCAGTGGAGGAGCTATGCGCAACAAAGGGCCTTTCCCCCGTATTCCTAGGGAAAAAAAATCTTTTTAGTGTGTCACTAAAAATCTCACAAAGATTAATTGATTTGCACTTTGATGTTCATGGAAATAAGGGACTCAAGCAGTGAAGGACTTCCCAATCTTCGTCTGATCAATATGGCTGGAGTTTTCTCCCCAATGAATTGTAGCAATCGACCAAATGGAGCCAAGTAATTTTATTAGTGCCTCCATAGGGCACACATATTATTTAGAGAACAATAAGTGGTACCTCTGAGCATATGGTCATCCTTCGAATTTGCTTCCCTTATTAAGACTGGGTATTCAGTTTTCTCACACAGAAATATCATTCCAGTTTTCCCTCCATTTTTAAAATTTTAGCATCTTTTGAAGGGCATTTGGTTATTTTACCAATTAATTGTTGATCTACCAGGTCAACATGATATTTATTTTGACCATTCCTGATGGGGCACTGATTGGTAAACATAATCTTTGTGTTGTCGAAAGCTTTCATGGCCAGAATCACTAGGTTGCTGTGAGTTTTCCAGGCTGTATAAAATGTTTCAGAAGCATTCTCTCCTGACATTTCACCCACATCTATGGCAGTCAGCCTCAGAGGTTGTGAGGTCTGACCTCACAACCTCTAAGGATTCCTGCCATAGATGTGGGCAAAACATCAGGAGAGAATGCTCCTGGAACATACCTGTACAGTCTGGAAAACTCACAGCAACCCAATAACAATATTCCACATTCTAGTAACAATGTTGATCCCAATGATTTAACCAAGTAAGAGAATTTTATGGGGGTGGAAGGGTAGCCTGTTAACTACCATATACATTCTTCTTAGTCTATCAACTATCTGTGTCACGTTTAGAAGGGAAACGCTTTATTTTCAGATTGTTCTTCCACTTTTAGTGTGATTTCTGTGTGTGAGATCTGGACTGAGAGTAGGATTGGGGTCAGACAATACAGGATGGGAATAGTATTGTTGGGGGAGAATTCTGTTCTGTTTGCATTTTGATAAATATTACTATATTCATACTTGCTAAATCTTGTCTTTCAATATTTGCAGTTCTCAAAATTTTGAGTAGTTCTTCCACCAAAAAAAAAAAAGCACCTTAGAGGGAAGTACATTAATGAAAAACGCACACGTCAAAGTCATATTAATACTGCTTGCAAGAAGTAATATATTAGGGGAAAGTCACAAAATCCACATGAATTTTGTATAAATCTTTTTTAAAAGCACAATGATGCCAAAGGATGGTGCAAACACAGAGTTTTCTTTTCCAAGAGGATTTGGATTGCTGTAACCTTGAAAGCGACTTCTTTAAAGTTACCCACTCAAGTTTTCCAGAAACTGGTTTTTGTATGCATGCTGTCTTTGATAGTGCAGATAACACATTGTATAACCATCATGACAAGAATCTGTTCAGAGCCTTATCCTCCCAGAATTTGGCAAGCTGGATTCCCAGAGTCCTCTCTCTTTCTGTTTCCCATACTGCTTCTCTTATCAAAGGAGAACTCCATTGTCTTTTCTAGGATGAATGGTTCATCCAGGCATAGATAGTACTCTTATGAGTAAGTTGGGTTTGCAAATGCTGAGACGTTTTGATTACATTTCAAATGAATGATTGATTCAAGATACAACAAATGCTACAGATTTCCCAAACAAAAAACAATTATATGCAAAATGAAAACCTTGTGGAAGTCATTGCGTTGACACATTGCGACATTTCACCTAAGGTTTTTGGTATTTGAGTGCATCTACAGTTTCAGGAGATAAAGCATTTGCCATTGTCAAGTATTTCATTTACCAACTGATTTTCAGAGATTTTCCTGTATGTAACTTGTGTTTTCACAAGGCATCCATGTATGTAGGTTCTCTTTCTTGTGTGGTTCTATTGTTTTGACCATTATTCAGTGGTCATATTCAGATCACGTCTGGACAACTAGACCTCTACATGTGTAACAATGGCATATGGACCAAAATCCTATTGTTAGTCGTGACTGCAAGAGAACCATTGATTCATGTGATTGAATGAGTCTGCTGTAGTTGGGCCTAACCATACAGTTGTGCATTCTTGAATGGTGCATATTCAATATTCAGTGCCTCCAGTATATCCTATTAATTCATGGGATTTCAGACACAGACATTGTACATTCCCCATTGCACAATGAGACTAGAAGTAGGTACATATTTGGTTGCACAGAGTCAATATTCAGAAGTGATGTGTAGCTGAACCGTTGTGTAACTCACACTATTCAAGGAAGGTACAGAAGCTCAGCTATATTTTTGTTCATGGCAAGAGCATGCTTCTGTTTTAATTTCCTGTTAAAACACTGTAATCACTTATTTTGCACGAATACCTTGTGCCTTTAATGACAGACAAAGAGCAAGCCTGCATATTTGTTATTCACTCAGATAACTTGCTAAGGCTGTGCAACCCTTAGAAATAACATTTACCCAAGTTTTGTTGGAGGAAAAACTCCCTATTTTTCCTTTCTGTTGCTTTCTATCTTGCCTTGAATTTAAAGAGCACAGAATTTTCAAGAAAGGATTTTGTCAGAATATAGCCAGACTAATAACTACAGTAGTTTGGCACCACCCTACTTAGAGAACCAGCATTGCCTAGAGGATTGAGTGTTGGATTAGAACTCTGAGAGACCAGATTTTGAATTCTGCTCAGTCCTAGAATGTCACTTGACCTCGATCAAGTGACGTTCTCTCAGCCAGAAAATCCTTTGAGTTGCTATGAATCAGAATTGACATTGTGACATATAACAGACAATCACTATTACTCTAATGCCATAGCACCATCCTTAGGAATCCTGAGATTTGTAGTGTAATGAGGTACAGACAAAAATCCTACTTACAAACGACCCATAGTTAAGAACAGGGGTGAGACATCTGGAAGTGAGAGGAATCTATTCCTAGGAAGGGAAATTCACTCCTGGAAGAGTTAATCATGGGGAAAAGGTGTCTCCACTGAAGCTTTTCCCCAATCCTTGTTTCCACAATAAGTGAAATTTGTCAAAATCCAGTTGTCACAGGGACAAAAAGGGAAGTGAAATATTCTGAACATGGGCATAGACAGCAAAACAAATACCTTCCCTATGCTATCCAAAGCACATGTGCACACGCACATGGACACATATGTATGGCTGAAGTTACACTTAAATGTACCTGTTCCAAAATATACATACAAATTCAACTTAAGAGCAAACCTACAGAACCTATCTTGTTTATAACTTGGAGACTGCCTGTACTTAGAATGATCTACCAGAGAAGTCTAGTCCAATTAAAGCATTATCAGATTGCTGTAACTATGCATGGTAGATATACTTAGTCAATTAATCCTATATATTCCTAAACTGACTCCTCAGACTGAACTTCCATTCTGTCTTAAGGTAAGAGATTCAGGAGCTGGCAACAGGTGCGTGTTTAATAAATTAGCGCTTGCTTGGATTTACACTTCGCTGTTTTTGACCATTCATAAACTCCTTTGGTATAAGGTGTGGTGACACCTGAGTTACAAAGTCCAACATATTCCCATACTATAGTGTGCACATGGGGTGGGGGGAATTAGTATGTTCTCTATCTCTTTGACAAGTGTTAACAACCATCCATCACCATCCTGCTAGGAGTCCCCGGTGGCGCAGTGGGCTAAACCCCTGTGCCGGCAGGACTGAAGACCGACAGGTTGCAGGTTCGAATCTGAGAGAGCATGGATGAGCTCCAGCTCCTCATACGGGGACATGAGAGAAGCCTCCCACAAGGATGATAAAAACATCAAATCATCCGGCCATCCCCTGGGCAACGTCCTTGCAGACAGCCAATTCTCTCACACCAGAAGCCACTTGCAAATTCTCAAGTCGGTCCTGACACGAGGGGAAAAAAAATCCTGCTACCGACCTGCAAGTGTTTCTTTCCCCCCCTCCTGAAGGAAGAAGGTAGGTTTTCTTGGCATTGGTGGCACTGTTGTAAACTTTTGGCAATCATAATAATTTGGAGGCAGCAAAGGCTACAAAAATGCATTGTGCATATAGCCTACAGACCATATGCTACCCACTTCTGTTCTGCAACTACCTGCTGACCTTATTTCTGTGTCTATACTCTTTCATCTTCTATCAGCCAATTTATTCTATCCAATTTATTCTATCCACACGTAACAGGACATTCTGTTCAACTGGTGTTAAGTTGAAACCCATTAACATGCTGATGTGCAGGAATCCTGACAGTGAAAAATGGTGACAAAAGTGACAAGTGGATGTTAAAGCTTTCGAGGCTGCTGGGAAGTGTAAAATAAACAAGTTGAGCATTCCTGGCTATAGACCTGGGTAGAAAGAGATACAGTTCATATAGGGTGTTGGGAAATCATGAACCCAGTTTCAAAGCAGTATATTTCACAATTGGGTCCATCTTTTTATGTACTCCTGGCTTACTATCTTTAAGAGAAATATATGCCCTTCCTTGACTTTTCAGTCCAAGTAAAGAAAACAATCCACTCATGCACACCTCTGTATTTGTGTAATATATTAAAGATATTATGATTCATGCCAATTGCGTTTGTCCATTATTTCCTAAAGAAGAGGATGGGAAGACTAGCAGAGCAAGAGAAAAAGGAATCTGACCTTCAGAAAAGGGCAAGGTAGGATTTTGGCACTCTCCCTCCTACCATAAGAAACCAAAGTCTGATGGCACCAAGCTAATCTGCTAGAGGTCTTTCTCCATTTCCTTCAGACAAAGAATCTGAGGTGACAAATTATACTACCCAATAAAAAATAGGAAAGGAAATCCGAGTCTATATGGGCAAGAGATTTTAGCAGTACAGAGGTGATAGAATGCACAATTTCATTTCAAACGGTGGCATGGGTATGTGTATCCTTATAGCACAGTCTTCTGTATTAATAGGAAAACAAGCACAGCACAAGCTAGAATAGGCTGATTACATTTTTAAATGCCCCCACCACAGTCTAATATTATACAGTTCTTAATTCTACAAACCTGGCTCCTATTCTATGAAACTTTTCCTTACACTTAAGCAGGTGAGAAGTTTGAGGAACTGTAGAGATTCTTACCCATATTTTGTCTTGTATTTAAAATGTCCCTAAAACTCTTATGATGTTATTTTCCCCTCAGATGATCATACTTGCTTACTTAGGTGATCCCTTGTAACCCAAGGATGATGGTCCTCTAAGTGTAGTGGCAGTGGGTCCGTAGGTGACTGTGGAGCCCTATTCTTGATCCGTATGTTCTCCTGTAGTGAGGACATCAGTTTCCAGGTGGAAGGCTGTCCCGATCAGGGTTGCCTTGACGTGCCTTCCTCTTGGCACATTTTTTCCCTTTCACCCTCCATTCATGCCTCTTCGAATTCTGCAGCACTGCTGGTCACAGCTGACCTTCAGTTAGAGCGCTCAAGGGTCAGGGCTTCTCAGTTCTCAGTGTCTATGTCACAGTTTTTAAGGTTGGCTTTAAGACATCTTTAAATCTTTTTTCCTGTCCACCAACATTACGTTTCCCATCATTGACTTGGGAGTATAGTAATTGCTTTGTTAGATGGTGATCGCACATTCGGACAACGTGGTCAGGCCAGTAGAGTTGTTGGCATAGGAGCATTGCTTATTATTGTTATTTTTTCCTTGGATGATAGATCCTCTTGGGATTATTTATTGTCCGGTTCATGCTAATAAATTGTTTTTATAGGGCAATTTTATATAGCTTTTAAAGCTATGTATAGTATGTTAATCTATTGCTATACTTTGTCAAGGTCATCATTAGGTGCATAGAGCTATCTTTTTGTTACTATACATTATTTTTTTAAAGTCAGCATTTAATTTGTTGTCTAGTCCTTCAAGCCGTTGTGCTTAATTGAACTTTATTTTTCTGCATTAAATTTCCCATTTGGTGATGACCTTTGGTTTCAGCAAATAAAGTACTGAGTGGCTGAATGACTGATTGACTGAGCTCTACTTGAATGTGACTGAGAACTATTGATTACTTCCAGAAAATCTAATCGGTTTACCAACTATGAGTAATAGCAATTGGACACCAGCATTTCTGCAGATCCATCTCCAACCCCAATTCCTTCCCCCTTAGGATTGCTTAAAGGCGAAAGAAAAAGAGGTGATATTTCATTCCAGACCAATAGCTAATAGTACAAAAATATTCATAACATCATCCTAAGCAGACATACCCAGCTGACACATTGTGGTGGGTCTTGTTCCCTACTCAAAGAATGCAATGCCCACAGACTATTAAAGTTCTCAGTTTTTCTCTCTGCCTTGCATCATATTTTGTTTAGAAATGAAGAGGAACTCACATAAGTTTATCTGCATGAGATCCTTGTGTCGCCAGGCAAGGATAAGGAAGAATGCATACTGTATCAGATGGAGTCAGACTGGGACAGCTTTCCTGTGTTGCCATCTTCCACAGGTGAAAAAAAACTTATGAAAATGACACAGAGTACACATTGAGTCTTGGGCATGAGGAGATGGAGCTGAGAGAGGGAGCTAATCCGCGCTCTCCCCGGATTCAAACCTGCGACCTGTCAGTCTTCAGTCCTGCTGGCACAGGGGTTTAACCCACTGCTCCACCAGGGGCTCCTAACTTAATATCGTGGCATAGACACTGGGAAGTCCTTGAGCGCTCTAACTGGTGGTCAGCTGCGACCAGCAGTGCTGCAGAATTTGAAGAGGCAGAAATGGAGGCCCAAAGGGAGAAACGTGCCAAGAGGAAGGCACATTAAGCCATCCATCTGTTTCAAACCAGTTCCATTGCCAGTACTCTACTTCTAGAAACAAAGCTACTAGTGCTCATGTCTGCTGTGGAGCCATGAAGTATGGTCTGAAAGTCCGGCATAATACTCCTCAATAGGTTGCAGTACTTCATTAGAAAGGAAGAGGCACTCTGTGAATGTTTAGTGGTGAACTTGAACCTGGAGCTGAAAATGGAGAGATGGCTGAACCTTAGCACAAATAAAATGCACTGCTGAAGATACCACAACTCCAAGTTTCCCTTCTTTTCTGGGACATTTTTGTTGTGTTTCTAGTCAGCAGCGAGAGTCGGGCTGCTGCAGACCCCTGTTTACCATTTAGTTAATAAATGAACAGGAACCAGCACAACTTTCCAAATGCACAAAAGCTTTGAGTGATTCTGGCTCCAGCAACTCCAGCGGGGAGGGGTGTGTGTGTGTGCTTATATGTGTGTGCCTATATATATTTAGAGAGCTAAGCCAAAGCTCAGCATTAGACTTCCTTCCTGAGCTACGAGGGGCATTTGTGGAGATACCCCTCCCACCCCTATCACCACAGGTAAAGAGTGGGCTGGCACTTAGCTGTGAAACTGGAGAGAGCTGGCTCAGGGCTGCTCTTGAATTCCTGATAGGAAGGGAGCTCAGGAGTGTTTCTTCTCTTCCGCATCAAGAGCTCCTTGCCCACCTCCAAGAGGATGTCTCGGTGGCTCTGGCTCCTTGGCAGAGTCCTGCTCTTGCTGAATGTGACTGCCTCTGTGAACTTCCTCCATCACCGCTATGAGGAGCTGGTGCAAGCCCTGTACGATGTGAAGGGCTCATGCCCATATATTACCCGGCTGTACAGCATCGGACGCAGCGCCCAGGGCCGCCACCTCTATGTGCTGGAGTTCAGCGACTACCCTGGCATCCATGAGCCCAGTAAGTGTCCTTTATGGATATTAACATAATCCTTGTGGTTGGCAAATTTTGTCTAGCCCCCAGGTACTCCAAGCAAGAAAGGCATTCTCTTAAAAAAAAAAACCAAAACAAAACAAGGGAAGACAGGTCTGTGCAAGCTGCAATACTTCTGCTGATGGCAACTTCCCTCAGTTATTTAGCAATTGTTTCTTTTAATTTTGAATGTGCTTCATGCATTTGACCTCCTTGGTCCTCTTCTGTATTTGCAAGGTTGCAGTGGGGTACAATCTTGTTTCATTGTACACATAGGCCCCACCAGCACCGACCATCTACATTGAGCAGACAACCATTTCGCATAAAAGTGCATGAAAGAAAACCTTTAATGCAGCATTTCTTAACCTGGGGGTCGGGACCTGGGGGGTGTGTGTGTGAGGGAGTGTAAGAGGCGTCACCAAAGACCATCGGAAAACACTGTATTTTCTGTTGGTCATGTGTGGGAAGTTTGGCCCAATGCTATCATTGGTGGGTTTCAGAATTCTCTTTGATTGTAGGTGAACTATAAATAGCAGCAACTACAAATGTCAAGGTCTATTTTCCCCAAATTCCACCAGTGTTCACATTTCAGCAGATTGAGTATTTGTGCCAAATTTGGTCCAGATCCATCATTGTTTGTGTCCACAGTGCTCTCTGGATGTAGGTGAAACTCAAGGTCAATCCCCACCAAACACTTTCAGTATTTTCTCTTGGTCATGGGAGTTCTGTGTGCCAAGATTGGTTCAATTCCATCATTGGTGAAGTTCAGGATGCCTTTTGATTGTAGGTTAATTATAAATCCCAGCAACTACAACTCCCAAATGACAAAATCAATCACCCCCAACCTCACCAGTATTCAAATTTGGACGTATCAGGTATTTGTGCCAAATTTGGTCCAGTGAATGAAAATATATCCTGCATATCAGATATTTACATTCATAACAGTAGCAAAATTACAGTTATGAAGTAGCGATGAAAATAATTTTATGGTTGGGGGTCACCACAACATGAGAAACTGTATTAAGGGGTTGCGGTATTAGGAAGGTTAAGAATCACTGCTTTAATTCATATTAATGTTCTGTGATTTGCATAATCACAATCCGGGCCTCAATACGGGTCCCAGAATTTCCTGTGTAATCATCTCTACAGTGAGAACACTTTTTTCATTTCTGGTTTGCAACTCCATTAAATGGTCAGTGTAGATGGGGCCGTGGGGTATTGAGACTGAGACTAGATCTACACAGCCATATAATCCAGATTATCAAAGCAAATAATCCACTTTATTTACTTTGGACTGGATTATATGAATCTATGGACTGGATTATATGAACTGCCATATAATCCAGTTCAGCCTTGGATTTTATTTGGCAGTGTAGAAGGGGCCTGAATTATTCGGCCGAAGACCCATTAGAGACAAAATTTAACTTCAAGGTTCAAGTCCAGTTTTCCTTCTGTTACATTGTGCTGGTTCTAAAAAGAATAGCGTCACAGCTGAAAAAAAAAACAGACTGTAGTTTATGGCTAACTTTGGATGTTGAGGGGAGCTTTGGGGGTGCTCCTTTTCACAGGGTGCGTCATAGTTTTTCTGCTGCAGTGGCAAACTGGTGTTCTGGCAGACCTTCGCTGTATCAGTTAAAAATTGATGGCAAAAAGTTAGGAGAACACAGGCATCAGCTTTGTAATTATGAAGAAACAATTCAAAGATCAACTACTGAGGCCATTTTCTATGTACCTCTTCCACCTATGGGAAGAATATTATCTACAGGGGAAAGGGCTTTGGCACTCAAAAAGCATTCCCCCCAAAAAGATCTACTTGGTAAAATCCTGATATCATTAGGTGCCAAATTTAGGTCTAAAAATGCACTTATTTAATAACACAAGGGTCCTAATATATGCTGATTATGGAGTGTAATGTGGTTTTATTTTTACCTCTTTGTGCTCCCTTGCATGTGTACATTTAAAATCTGATATTATAAAGGGCAGCATCCCTCTGTTCAAAATAACTAATTATATACTATTTCCTCAAGAAGCTCAGAGCAGCATCTTACCTGCACACCAAGCCTACAGGGCAGATTATGCCAAGAGGAAATAAGCTTCTTACTGAACCTATGGGCATGTACACTGTCAAATTTATGAGGTTGAACACCAATTTAATTGTCAGGGTTCAACGCTATGGAATCCTGGAGTTGAGAAACCAACACTCTTTGACATCAAAGGCTAAAGACACTGTAAAACAGTGGTCCCCAACCTTTTTTTCCCAGGGACCACTTGACAAGGGTTATGAATCGGTTTTTGGTCAACTTTAGATTCAGTTTGTTTATTTAGGGTGTCTGATTCAGAAAATTGCACTGGATAGACCACATCAGCTCTAGTTTCTGATACAGAACATATGCCATCCGGTAGTCACCATTTGCTTGCCCACAGAAAACCATATTTAATCATCTAGAGCTGATGTGGTCTATCCAATGCAATTTTCTGAATCAGCACCACAAATAATCCCAGGAACAGGCCTAAAAACGAAGACATCAAGGTGCCCCCACTTCCAGGACCACGTGGAACAGCTCCACCCAGGGGGAGGAGGGGGAGAAGCAGCAATCAGGAGGCTTGTTGTTGTGCCTTTCATTGGTAGTGAGCTTCTTCCCTCCCGACATCCTCATTGCCTTGGCAATATAAGAGGGTTTCGTGAGACTAGTTGCACTCTTTGCAACGGTGTAGTAACAGTGAGGCCGCCAACCATATTTTAGTTCTTGGGGACCATTGGTGGTCCACTGACCACAGGCTGGGATCCACTGCTGTAAAACTACAATTCCTATTATTCTATAGCATTGAGGAAGGCAATGAAATTAGAATAAATTTAATTAATTCCACTGTGTAGATGCACCCCTAGAGTTAAACCTGCCCTTCTTCTATAACATTGCAACAGCCCTACAATGTATATGTAAAGAAATATCAAGTTTCTGAATGATCATGAGTTTGAAATAGTGCAGTTCCTGCTTCCAAGCTCAGCATTTTTGCAATTGTACTGTATCATGTCATATAGACAATCATTCGTGACTCAGTATGATTGTCTTCCAGAGAGCTAGTCTATATCAGGCATGGACAAACTTCGACCCTCCAGGTGTTTTGGACTTCAACTCTCATAATGCCTTCTGTTAGGAATTGTGGGAGTTGAAGTCCAAAACACCTGAAGGGCCGAAATTTGCCCATGCCTGGTCTATATAGACTATTGCCTGCAGGCACCATCCTGTTGGATAGTTGTTGCGAAAACAAGAAAAGAGGAACATGGATTTGAGCAAGAAAAAATAGGGATGCAAGAGGGCTGACTCATATCTGGAGCCAGATTATTCCTTTCCTATCATTCCTAGATTTCATCAACTCCTGTCCTGTTTAATCTCAAATTTACACTTGAGCAAGAGGTCTCTGAATGAATTATGGCTGCCTTTGACCTTACATCTGTTTGATTTGGGATTCCAGTGTACACGCATGCTGGTGTGCATAGTTTAATGTGATTTCCCTCCATAGATTGCCATATCGGAGGGACTGGAAGCAAATAGTACTTTCGGAGTTCAGGAGAGTTTTCCTGCACCCTGGCTGCTTGCAGAGTTAGAGGGGCCACCTTCTGGGGGAAGCAATTTTATAGAAAAAGAATTTGGGACCAGGCCAAGCTGAAGGATTGGTTTGATTCTGCAGTTTAGTTAAAGTCCTTTGGGGCCTTTGAAGTCAGGAATGTGACACAGCAATGAGAGGGGCTAAAGGAGCAGGCACAGGGAAAGAGGCCTCTGGCTGTAATACAATAAGGCAACGGTGATCCTGAATGGACCTTCTCATCATCTCTGCATCACAGAAAATATTGCTCTTCTCCGTCACTGAATTCCTCACTGGATTCCACTGAAATCTATATTTTTGTAACTCCAAATATCCAGGTGTTGCCCTACTCTTCCTCCAGAATTATCTGCTGGAATTCAGCAAGACTTGGGTGTTTGCTTCCATCACTGTGGTGCATTCAGTGATGGGTTAACTGTGCTATCTAGAAGGAAACATGGCCTCACAGTGAGATGCTATTCCAAGCAGCATGGAAAAAACATAGCAGTAGTTGAATCTTTATGGTATGACAATAGGGATCATTGCGTTTCCCCTCTTCTCCTGATTTTTATGTTTTCAGAAGGCCACCCCATTGTTTGGCATTCTACCATCTGTGTTCCAATGTCAAAAAATCTCTCATTTTTTCAGTGGAGCCGGAGTTCAAGTATGTGGCAAACATGCATGGCAATGAAGTACTGGGCCGAGAACTGCTGATCCAGCTTGCCGAGTTTCTGTGTGAAGAGTATCGACATGGCAATCAACGTATTACACAGCTTATCCATGATACGCGTATTCACCTCATGCCTTCCATGAACCCTGATGGATATGAGGTGGCAGCTGCCCAGGTACCAGGCAAGCATCTCTCTCATATCTCAGTATTATGGTAACAGGAGCCCCCAGTAGCGCAGTGGGTTAAATCGCTGAGCTGCTAAACTTGTTAACCAAAAGGTTGCAGATTCAAATCTGGGGAGCAGCATGAGCTTCCACTGTCAGCCCCAGCTTCTTACCAACCTAGCAGTTCAAAAACATGCAAACAGGGCCGTAGCCAGAGGGGGAGGGGGGTTTAAAAGGTCAACCCTGCCCTGAAATATGTCAGGTTAGAAAAGAAACCTGATTTACTCATAACTTGATTAACCAGTTATAATTCTAGAGTAAACTAGGGTTTTGGGGGGGGGGGGTTAGAACCCTTAACACACACCCCCAGGCTACAGCCCTGCATGCAAATGTGAGTAGATCAATAGGTACCGCTCCAGCAGGAAGGTAAGGTGCTCCATGCAGTCATGCYGGCCACGTGACCTTGGAGGTATCTATGGACAACRCCAGCTCTTTGGATTAGAAATGGAGATAAGCACCAACCCCCAGAGTCGGACACAACAGGACWTAATGTCAGGGGAAAGTCTTTACCTTTACTATGGTAACATGTGTTTGTGTGAAAAAACAAAGGGAGGATCCTTGAAGAGGAAAAAAATTAATTTGGTCCTCCAGACATTCTAGTCCTCACTTCTAGGGACCCCAATCAGAGTGATCAATGGTCCAGAACAATTTAAATGAAAAAGTTCAAAGCACCAAAAGGACCAAGACATGGCATATACAGGCAGTCCCCCAGTTATGAACAACATAGTTTCTGTAGGTTTGTTCTTAAGTTGGATTTGTTTGTAAGTTGGAACAGGTACATCTTTTAAGTGAAACTCCCGCCAAAATGTATATGTATTAACTTTGCCTGGCATAGAGAAGGGTAAACACCCCTGTGGTGTTTGTTTTACTGTCTGTGCCTTTGTTCAGAAGATTTCACTTGATTTTCTGTCCCTGTGATAATTGGATTTTGACAAATTTCACTTGTTGTGGAAACAAGGACTGGTGACAAAGCTTAACTGGAGACACCTTTTCCTCATGATAACTCTTTCAGGAGTGATTTTTCCTTCCTAGGAGTAGATTTATCTTGCTTCCTGTTGTCTCACCCCCATTCTTTCTTATGAGTCATTTGTAAGTCGAATGTTTGTAACTTGGGGACTGCCTGCATATCCATGCAGGCATAGAATATAAATCTATAACAATGATGGAGAGTCAACAGGGAGCTCTGGTGTGGGCTGGTCTGTGAGGTCACAAAGAATCAGAAGTGACTGAACGAATAAACAACAACAGAAAACAAACAATGTTGGGGAATGAGAGCTGTTTTTGTCCAACAACTTCCTTATGTTTGTCTATACTGGCAAAAATGATAGACATTGCAATCAAATAACATTTGAAAGTCTACACATTACCTTATCCCTCATTTAAGGTCCCTTCTACACTGCCAGATAATCCAGGTTATCAAAGTTGAAAAATCCACATTATCTGATTTGAACTGGATTGTCTTAGTCTATACTACCATAAAATTCAGTTCAAAGCAGATAATGTGGTGGGTGCTCAGTCATCCATATTGCTTTCACAGAAATCCATTCTTTCTCTAACTAGACCCAACACAGTTTAAGAGACTTCACTGGGAGAAACAATGCCAATGCAGTTGACCTTAACCGAAACTTTCCTGAGCTCAATACCATCATGTACCACAATGAAAAACATGGCGGACCAAACCATCACCTTCCCTTGCCAGACAACTGGAGAAATCAGGTAATACATTATTCTATCAGACTCCCCGTGTGGATGGTCTGGACAGAAGTTTAATTCACCATGCTTTTGTAAGGGATCCAACAGATTAGCTACGGGAAGCTGGTGGTTTGTATTTGTGTGCATGTGCAGAAAGCATTATCTTGCACTGGTAAAATGAAGCTCTAACCCTCAATTGATCGGTTGGGTGGGTTTGGTCCCCTGTGCAGCTATATCAGTAGTTTGGTGTTCCCTTTTTCAGACCATTCTCTTCTTCTGTCCCCTTAACTTTAAAGTTTAAGGGCCATTCCACACTGCATTATAATCCTGAATTATCAAGGCAGTAAATCCCACAATATCTGCTTCGAACTGGAATATATGCCAGTGTGGACTCAGATAACTCAGTTCAATGCAGATATTGTGGGATTTCCTGCCTTGATATTCTGGATTATATGGCTGTGTGGAAGGATCCTAAGTTTAAGAGAATGGACACTAGGTTTTAGTATCTTTGATCCATGTTCACAGAACCCATGGATCTTTTAACTTGCTGTGCATTCCCAGGGCCTTTCCACACAGCCCTATATCCCAGAATATCAAGGCAGAAAATCCCACAATATCTGCTTTGAACTGGGTTATTTGAGTCCACACTCACATAATGTGGGATTTTCTGGCTTGATATTCTGAGATATAGGGCTGTGTGGAAGGGCCCCCAATGCAAGTCATCTTGAAATGATCCATGAGCAAATGTTTCCCCTTCCTTTTCAGGGCACTTCCCATGCTCATGGCCGCTAACTAAAAGCCACCCTACATACTCAAAGACAAGTGGTTTCTCACTCTCAAAACTATACAGCTCAGAGAAAGTTGGGGGGGGGGGGGAAGCAAAGATAATTGAAGTACTAACACAAAAATCTCATACCGATGGTCCAATGGAAAAACGGGGATCCCACAAGCTATGTAGACAGGATAGAAAGATCAAGTGAAACACACTATACAATTATAGTACTATGAATGTATTTCAACTGCCATGATTCTGTCCAATGAAATGATATAATTTACAATTCTACTTTGAATTCTGAGCCAGAGGACTCAAGCGTCCCACCAAATGACAAGCCCCATGATTTCATTGGATGTAGCTGTGACTGCTAAAGAGGAATCTTAGGGCCCTTACATACAGGTCCAAAGCCCGTAATGGGTTCCAGATTGGCCTGAGGAGTCCAAATATTGCCTCAGGCTAATCTGTATTAATCCAGAGTAAACCTGGATTTCCATGTTTATTCCAGAATTTAAAAAACATCTGGAAAGATCCAGAACTTTCAAAATAATGCTCCATTGAGCAGGCCTGCTTCTGTTTGCAGGCAGGTCCAGTAAGTTTTGAAGGGAAATGGGGTGTTGGGGGCTTGCTAGATGCCCTTCCGGGTTGATCTCTGATCAACCCAGGAGGGGATCTAGCCACTCCTCCCCACACCAAAATCCAAATTCTGGGAGGAATCAGGATTTTAAATCCTGGCACCTCTCGGGATTTTGGCCTGTCTAGAAAGGCCCTTAGTGCACTAATTGTGAAATAGTATCTCACTGATATAAAGGGGCATGCCCTCTGGCATCATTTGTTCCACAGAAGATAGCACATATACTTGTCTTACCAATTTGAAGTAATTGCCCATCCCATATTGGAAAGTTAAAGTGATCACCAGTTTTTGAATTGTGCCAGCTATGCGTTGGTAGGTGGATGTAACTCAAAGCAAGGAAAAGCTATTGGCTTGGGCTTCAACTTCCAGAATCTCATGGGCCATGGTTGGAAGATTCTGGAAGTGTAATTCAAATAATAAACTTTTCCAAACATTGAAGTTGACCCAATACATGTGTACCAGCTGACTTGCATTATGACATCTTGAGATGAGACTCATTCAGTTCTACCTCTGATATCTCTGAAGTGATGCAGTCCCAGCAGGACTGTTCATGTTTTTCTCCAAGTGAAAATCCAGGAAATCAGGATGTCCTTCTTCTCTAGTTTTATCTGCTTTTCTCTCTTCACAGGTGGAGCCAGAGACTTTGGCTGTGATTGAGTGGATGAAAAGTTACAATTTTGTCCTCTCAGCCAACCTTCATGGCGGAGCAGTAGTAGCCAATTATCCCTATGACAAAACCCAAGAGCAGAGAACGCGAGGCGTCTGGCGTCCAACCAACAGTCCCACACCTGATGACAATCTTTTCAAAAAGGTGAAATTGGCAAATTTCAAAGCAAAATGAGATGCACAAAATGGGTGCTAAGACAGACTAGACTTGAACAAACTCAAGTTAGTGGACATATGAAACAGGGGACTCCTCTTAGGGAGATGTAGAAGTGGAAGAATCTCATTGTCAGTAGCTTTTAGGGCAGTTCCAGACAATGCCAAAATCTGTGCCAAAGCAGGTTTTAAAAACCCGGTTTGGTGCAGACTCCCATCCCCACTCCTATCAAAAAAAAAAACCAACAGGCTTTCTTGGAAGGCTACATACAACCTTTCATTTTATATGGAGGCTAGTTTTCCCTAGCTTCCATAACTTTCGTCATCAACACACTCCTGGTGTGAGAAAATTACATGCCAGGAGAGGGGGGGAAGAGAGATCTCCCCTCCCCATCTTCTGGCACATCATTTTCTTGTACCAGTAGGGTAGGAGGAGGAAGTTATGACAGTCAAGTAAGTTTTCCTTAATTTTAAGGGTAAATTGGGAGCTGCGAGGGAGGGGTGGGTGCCATTCTGAACCTTTTGGCTTCCGTAGCGCAAAAGAATCGGGATGACAATGGGGACTCTCCTCTGGGTAGTCCCAAGACTACCTCAAAATAAGTCCCCACAGGCCCAATATACCATTAGACCTGGGCCTTTCAAGAAGGCCCAGATCTAATGGGGTATCTAATTAATTCAGAATAACTCAGGTTATTCTGAATTAATTCATTTTGTATAGGAGGTGTTGTTTGGAAGCCTCTGGTAAAAACCCAGAAACATCCCTGGATATATCTGAATGGGCCCTTAGTCATCCCAACTGAGCTAAAGTTTAAACTGAAGGGTAGTAATGAGAGAAGATTCAGAAGACTGGAGTTGGCTGACATAACATTATTTATGTCTCGCTCCTAGTCCCTAAGGAGATAATAGAAAAATACATCAAAAATGAGAGCATGGAAACATTCCATTTTAGGGCTATGTTCAACTCTTAGTTAACATTTTCCCAAGCTACAGAAAATAGAACATTAAAAAATTTAAAACGGGGAGAAGAAGCAAGAGGAAAAGAAAAAAGACAGATTCAGGAAAAGGAAGAAAAAGATGGAGAGAGAAAAAGGTAGAAAAAAGGAAGTTACTTCCAATTTACTATCAATAGTTATTCAAATATATAAAGCTACCCCAGCTCAACTATCATAATACGTTTTCTTTCTGATCATATATGCTTACTAAATATTCCACATTGAAACTTATCAAAATATGTTTTTTTATACAGAAGGCCAATACAAGATTGATATTCTTTATCCACTACGGCAGATTGTCTTTCCCTTTAGCCTCACCAAACTACAACTCTCATGATCCCATATCATTGAACCATGGCAGTTAATGTTTATTCTACCTGTTTTCCTGCTTAATGCCTAAGATTCTATAAGGCCCCTTTATTTTTGCTAGATGCTAGGTTTTATTTCTTTATTGCCCCATTCTACATTAATGTAGATTTTCATGACGGAAGGCAAAAAACTATGGTGCTGCAAAGGAGTACTAGATAAGAGTATTTTTCTTGCTCATCATTGAGGGAATTTAGATCTTCATTTTGCCTACACTGTGGAACAAACCGGGCATGTAGGAATGTATGACCAGCATATCCTTTTTTCTTTATGGCAGCTAGCCAAGGGCTACTCCTATGCACATGGAAGGATGCACCGGGGCACAAACTGTGGGGATTACTTTCCTGATGGCATCACCAATGGAGCCTCTTGGTACTCCCTCAGCAAAGGTACAGTCAAGGAAGTGAGCACACAAAACAGGAAATGTAGAAGGAAGCATATTTTGGAGGCAAGGGTTGCCTAAGAATAGAGATGTGCTGTATATACTCATGTATACTCTAGAAACTGGCCCCTCCCATGGGTCAACTTATTTGTGGTTAACTCTTATTTTAAAAAAGGAACCATCCCCTTCTTTGAGTAGAATGGTGAAAGGCAAGAGCTTGGTCCATCACAGGAGAACCTAAAAGAAACACCGAGCCCCTCTACTCTCTCTCCCGTGGTTCTGCTTCTGGTCTTTTTAATGCCTAGGTGAAAAAATGGTGGCAATGACTCTTTGCCGCTTCCCCTTGAAAAATCACCAAGGGAGAAGAGGGGGTCCATGCTTCTTTTAGGTTCTCTTGAGATGGACTACGGTCTTGCCTTTTGCCACTCTATTCAGACTAAGGCACAGTTTCTGCTTTGATAGGAGTTAATACCGTGCCTTAACACACACACACATACACACAGAGAGAGCGATCCCTTTCTCTGAGTAGAGAGATGAAAGGCCTTTATGAATGGGTTGGAAAATGTCGGTGTCGGTTTCTAGGGATGTCTGGCCATCTGACGTGGCTCTGGCACTTTCTCCACTCTGAAGAATGATCTTCCTCTTGCCCTGAGTCATATCAAGACCTATAATTTTAGCTCCCATCACTGTCCTCAATTTATACAGGAAGTTAACTCATACACATATATAATTCTTCACTAAGTTTCTTCTGCAGAGATACAACAAGTAGTATTAGCAATGTTCTTCCTGCTGAGAGAAAATCTTCAAAACACAGTTTTCAAAGCCTGATGGTGATTTGGGTCAATATAAAATCCTTAGGTGATTGTTTTGCACAGAAAACAGCCATTTCTGTGCAGGAAGCAGCATTTTCTGTACATTAAATGGTATCTCTGTATAGAAACATTGTATAGCATATACCTCTAGTACAGGGGTCCTCAAACTAAGGCCCAGGTGCTTAATGACATATTATGATAGTCATTTACCCGGCCCTCGCTCAGGGTCAACCTAAGTCTGAAACGACTTGAAAGCACACAACAACAACAACAATCCTATCTCATCACCCAAAAGTAGTCCCACACTTCCCATTGAAATACTAATAATGTTATATTTGTTAAAATGGTTCGTCATTGTAATCATTGTATTGTTTTTAAGTGGGTTTTGCGCTATAAATAAAATATGTGCAGTGTGCATAGGATTCATTCATGGTGGTTTTTTTCAAATTATAATCCGGCCCTCCAACAGTTTGAGGGACTGTGACATGGCCCTCTGTTTAAAAAGTCTGAAGGCCCCTGCTCTAGTACATTATTGTAGTAGTCAGAGTCCCCTCAAATTTTGTGAGGTGAACAATTATCTCATCCCTAATGAACCTGCTCAGGTGTCAGGATCATTAGGAGAGGCTTGTTCTATGTCCCTGCTACCTGTTGATGCGTGGTTGAAAGAAAGACACAGGAGGACCACCTTGTTAGCAAAGCAACCTTGACTACAGAGTCCACGAACCTGAGAGATTTGGCTCTTTTCATCTTTGAGTTTAGATAACAGCAGATGAGAATGACTTCATTTGAGCACACTTTTTCTGGCCCCATGTAATGTTTTCCATTGACCTGTTATTTTTACAAGCTCCTGCTATTTTGTTCCAGTAATGTTTGCCTGGATTTGTTTGACCATTTCACTGCTACTGTTGACTCACAAGCTAAGATGTGGCTAGGCTAGAGATGGTTTTATACAATTAGCCAATAAACATTCTCAACTGTCTGGCTTACAGGGATGCAGGATTTCAATTATCTGTTCACCAACTGTTTTGAGATTACTCTTGAACTGAGCTGCAACAAATTCCCACCACAGGAAGAACTGGAGTTTGAATGGCTAGCAAATCGTGAAGCACTGATTGCCTACATAGAGGAGGTAATGAACTGACAAGATGGCACTCTGTCTCATCCTCCTGCTGCTCTTTAACAAGTGTCTTAACTTGGGATTCATCACTGACCAATACCTAGAGGAAATCTATCTCATACCAGGCAGATGTATGAAGACAATAGTTTTCTGGATTTTAAACCAGAGTATTTCCAAACCTTTTCTAAATGTGCCAGACATTGAAGCTGGGGCTTTCTAGATGCAAAGCTCTGTCTCACTACTGGGTATTTGTGAGGAAAACTGCCATTTTAGTTCTTCCTCTCTTTTTATTTTATTTTTTTGCGAATTTTGAAAAATTCTGTCCGAAACAAAACTTCTCATAGATTCTGAGTAAGTATTCACTGGTTCCTAGTAGGGATTGAGGTTGGTTAGGTCAAACTTAGTAAATACACTCTGTGCTGGCTGCTGCTTTATCTCTTGCATGTTTCAACTTCAATTCTTAGGACAATTCACTCTATCTGTCCTTCAGGTTCATCATGGCATCAAAGGCATGGTGACAGATGAGAATAACAACAAAGTTGCTGGTGCTGTCATTTCGGTGGAAGGAATTGGCCATGATGTCACTGCAGGTTGGTATTCAGCTTGCTGCTGATTAGACTGATTTTCTTAAGTGATATTTATATCATTTTTCTCCTTCTTTGCAATTCAATTGAAAACTAGATATTTTTTTGTTTTGAAAACAGCTAAAGAGAAAAAATAATTTCTTTTCTAATTTAAAACAGAAGGATAGAAAAGCGAGTATGCAGTATTTTGAAGCAAAGAAGATAGAAAAGTTGAGAAATGGAAAATAGAAAGCCCTAACTAATGCTTGCTACCTTGTCTTTGCTGCCTCTTCATAATCAAAGAATCTATTCTTTTTGTCATAAAACTTCATATCTGTGGTAGATTTAACTTTCCAGGATCCCTTGAATATCATTGGGATCCTGTTATTCTTGTCACTAACTTCTCTATTTTTTTTCTTTTCTTGTTATTCCTACACCCCTGTATTACTAATTTTCCCTTAGTGCTATAGAAAACATATTTTCTTTTCATTTTCTTCTTTTAAATAGTCAATAAAAGGCTGCCATTCTTCTTCAAATTTTGAAGGATCTGGCGATTGTATAAGCCTAGTCAATTTGTCCACTTCTGCCAGATCCATCATTTTTGAAATCCATAAATTTTCTTTTGTTTTCGGTAATTGCAAATAATGAAAAGCTCTTCTCCTTTTGTTTGGTGAATCCAGTCCATGTATATTTAAAGAAAGTATCCTCAAGATCCTCGTTCTTGAAATAGTAGATCATCCCATTCTTCTTCTTCATGTGAAGTGGTCTGCCACTGTAATTGAATGTCTTCTTTATCCAGGATCTATTGAGGTTGCCATCTCCTCCTGCCTTCCCAGATGTTCTCCTTTGTCCTCTGATCTTTCCTCTGAATCCAGGTCTTTTCTGAACCTCTCATAGAAATCCTGGGCCTTCATGACTGACGTTAACCAATATCTTTGTCTTTTATAAGATACCATCAGTCATTTTGTGCTTTCCCATCTGAATCTTTAGCCTTTCTTCTTCAATTTATCTGCCAGGAAAAATTAATCCCTTATTTTCTTTATTGTCTGAGATGGTTCTCTTAATTCTGCAATCCTGACATTTCCTATTTCAAGCAGATCTTTGGCATCAGCTTGCAAAACTTGGTCTGCAATTTCCTTGTTGTAAATAATCACACCTCTTGAAAGTTTATTCTGTATTGCATGTTGGGATTGGACCCTAAAGGTCCTTTCAGTTTGAGTCTTGACCACTTGCCCTGGTATACCAAGGATTCCAGCAATAACTTTTATTGCTACATCAAGTTTCCTTACAGATTCCTGTATTCCTCTCAACCTCAAAGAGTATTTTCTTTGAGTGTATTATAATCTTGGACTTAGATTGAATCTCTTTAGAAATCCATTATTCTTATCTCTCTTTTTCTTACAGGTGAACAGGGTGACTATTTCCGGCTGCTTTTGCCTGGCACTTACACAGTCACTGCATCAGCAGATGGCTACCAACCCCAAATAGAGAAAGTTGTGGTGGGTCCCGCTGGGCCCTCTGTGGTGAGTAATCAAGCAAAACTGAAGGCACCAATGTTTTAAAACTCAGACATTCATACATGACTTAATTTGGAAGAATTACTGTTTTGGAGTACTCCGGACTTGAAAGCTCTCAGTCTCAGCTTTATTGCATTACTTCCAATCCCACATGCATTCTCATCCCAACTTTTTGTACAAATTAAGTTGCAGATCTTTTGTTCTGTATGGAATTCTTATGCACATTTGACACACTTTTCTCCCCAATACAGATTTATTTGAATGAAGTTTTTCTAATATAAGCATTTTTGTATATATTTTCGAAGAGCAAAACATGTTTACGTGTCTCTTTCAGTTTTGCATATTTTAAGTCAGTCACACTTTTAAATGTATGCACAGTTTGTGTATATTTTATTTCCCTCAAATTTACTTTGACCTCACAAATACAGTTCATTCTCCATATGCATGGATTCAAGCAAACATGGCTCAAAAATATTTGGGTGGAAATTCATAGCAAAGCATCACTTTGCAGTGCTGAGTACTATGTTAATGTAATGTACTATGTTGCTATAGCAGGCATGGGGAAACTTTGGCCCTCCAAGTGTTTTGGACTTCAACTCCCTCAATTCCTAACAGCTGGTTTTAGGTGTTTAAATTATATTGTTTAGATGTTATTATGTTTTTAATTGTGTTTAGTTTGTAATCCTTGTTTATGCTGGGCATGGTCCCCATGTAAGTCACCCCAAGTCCCTTCGGGGAGATGGTGGCGGGATATAAAAATTAAATTATTATATTATTACCTGGGGAGTTGCGAGGATTCCAGGCTATATGGTTGTGTTCTAGCAGCATTTTCTCCTGACATTTCATCTGCATCTTTGGCTGGCATCTTCAGATGATCCTCTGAAGATGCCACCCACAGATGTAGGTGAAAGATCAGGAAAAAATACTGCTAGAACACGACCATACAGCCAGGAAACCACAGATCACTCCGGTGATTCTGGCCATGAAAGCCTTTGACAATACATTATCCAGTACCAAATACAATGTGGTTTTTCCCCACCTGTGCCAAATGGTACTATAGTACAGCTAAACTGTCCTTACTCCAAAGATCAACTGGTTGGCCATGGGGATAAACCATAATGGTTCATCATGTCATTACCTAGCTGGCAGCTGTTACCCAACTTAATTAAGTATGCTGCTGGAGCATTATGCTCTGCTAGGAATCAATAAGAATTAAGCCAATCCAGGCAAATATCCCTGTCTGGTGTCCATCAAGCTGCCTGAAAATAATATATTTGAAGGGTTAGGTATACATCTATACAGTGTACTAGCTCATGTGATTAACTGATGACTCAAGGAGGGTTAATTCATTACGTTACCAGAGCCAGATCAGTCTAGCCCAGGACTGCTTTAGCTCTTCTACCTGGGCTACATATCCACTATCTGCCATAGGTATAGCCTGTGGCCTCCTGTTGCTCTTTGACTTTGGCCTCTTGAGCTTTCCTAACTTTCTGCATGGACCTGTTGCATTTCATTTTACTCTCAAAGGCTGTGGAAGCTGCCAGATTTTCTGAAGTATTTTTAAATATACTTTGAAGATTTACTGAGAGGCTTTCCTACCAGAAGGATGTGTTAGGAGGGAGCCTAGAGGTGGTGCTGTGACTTAGAACACAACTCAACCATCTGCTGGAGAAAAGAAGGATCATTTTTTCTGATTGATACTTTTGTTGCTTTCCTATTGTTCAAGTCATTTCCAGCCTCCTCCCATTATTTTTGCTGTGTTGTCAACAGTCAGTTGCATGCTTTGTGTGCAGCCATACCTCCATAATACACAGCTGCCTTCATTAGAAAGTTGTGTTATAGCTGCAAAGTTCTTCCCCTGCAAACTGGCCAAATCTATCATGATAAGATTTATTTTGCTGTACTTCTGGATATGATTGACCATTCACACACCTCTGTCATCATGAATCAGTGGAAGGATGATGTAGCATGTATTTCTGCATCGAATGGCACTTCAATGATATTCTCTTTTCCAGGTACACTTCCAGCTCAGGCAGGGTGCTTTGGACAACCGTCCTGCACAGAAGATCTCTGAAAAACACCACACAAGCAAAGCTCTGCACAAAAAGGTTGTGCCACGTGCTGCCCAGAGGGAGATGCCTCGGTGAAACCAGAAAGGTGGAAGCAGATGGAATTGAGCCATTTATACTATAAGAAGTCAATAATGCTGGCAGATGAACTTTCTAAAGGCCATCCCACAACCTTTCTTGTCTCCTGCAAACATGAAATGAGCTGAGACTTTGTTTATTAAATGTGTAATATTTAACTTCGGTGCAGACTCTTTCAGGAGGAGGGCAGTCATTAGACCTTTCAGTTCTATGATTTTCTAACCCAGTGTTTCTCAAACTGTGCTCCTCCAGATGTTTTGGACTCCGCTCCCAAAATTCCTAACAGCTGGTAGGATGGATGGATGGGATTTCTGGGAGCTGGAGTCCAAAACAACTGGAGGAAAACAGTTTGAGAATCACCGACAGTCACAGAGTTTAAACCATCTCAACCAATTTGTTGGCTTAGTATCACCTGCAGCCAGTGCTATTGCCCCCCCCCCAAAAAAATATATGGCCATAAGTAGTTTATAGAACACATGGAAAATATCAGACATTTAAATTGTGTGTGTGTGTGTGTGTTTATCTATCTGTCTGTCTGAGAGGCCATCCACATTGCAGAACTATAGCAGTTTAACACCACTTCAACTTTTTTTAAAATGTCAGGAGCAACTTGAAAAACCGTAAGTTGCTTCTGGTGTGAGAGAATTGGCTGTCTGCAAGGATGTTGTTCAGGGGACATCGGACGTTTTACCATCCTGTGGGAGGCTTCTCTTATGTCCCTGGATGAGAAGCTGGAGCTGACAGATGGGAGCTCACCCCACTCCCCGTATTCGAACTGCCAACATTTTGGTCTGCAGTCGTGGGACCAAATGAGGGTTTAACTCATTGCACCATTGAGGGCT